CCCACCGTGGGCTTTGAGGGCGACTAACTCCATGAATAGGATATTTCCCAGGAATCTACCTGCTTCGGTGCCTCAGGAAACATACAATCCCGAACAAAGTAAGATAAACGGAATAAAGACATTAAATTATTTATTCGTATTTTTTACTTGACTAAGTACCTCTTTCCTCTTAAATAGGGATGTCTCCTTTCCTCCCACCCTTGGTCGATTATCCACCTAGACGACCAAGAAGGGCTGTGGTGCGGGAAAATCTAGGTAAAATAAATGAAATTAAATGCTCGATATACTTATTCATAAGGCGTTCTGACTAAAGTAATTTTTTCTTTTCTTAAATAGCACCTCCGCCACAATCACCAGACTCCTCGATCCAGCAAGCAATCGATACGAGGAGCCAGTAAGTTTTATTCAGCGATGCCATCTACTATAAATTTGGTAAGATATTAATTATATTTGCTTTAAAGGGAAATTGTGGCGCAGCCATCTCAACCGAGACGCAACCCACCTCGAGCCGCAAGACCACGGACCTCTAACAGAAGGCAGTAAGTTTTTGTATGAAATGTCATGTATTACAAGCTAGATATTTAATATGTTTGCTTTATAGGGTTGATACAGCGCCTCCGCGACCACGACGAAACCCGCCTCGAGCTGCAAGACCGCGGTAAATCAACCGCGAGGTTCGTAACAGCACTACAAAAGTTATTAATAAATTGAGATGGATTTTAAAATTTACTCCTTTTTTGAGTTGAACAAAATTTAAATTCAATAAACTTACACTCGCCCACGAGTTTGACCAATATGAATTTTAGTTTGGCTGATGTTTTAATTTTGCTCAAATTAATAATTGTTTAAAAACGTGAGCTACAAAGTAAATTCAACGTTACGCATCGGACATGCACATTGTTAGACTCGAGGGTAGTGTCTTTTAATACACGAACATCGGGCTGTTAACATTGCGTTCTTATTACAATTGTCGAGTCAATAAACAAGAAAGAGCGTTTCCATTTTAATCGAGCCTTGGCTATCTCTACCTCTGCTAAATATACTGTAACATGACGAGTTAGTAGCCTTAAAAGAGTTTGCAACTTACGATTCCTGTTTGTTGGCGCAATCCTGGCTTACTATTTACCTACTGCTCTTACTAGTGAAATTAGTAGACTAATAGGAATCTAAACGTATCAACAATAGCGCGCAATTTTAATTAATAGCAATCGTATTGCCAAGCCAGAGTAAATCAATGGACAAGTATTGATTCTTACCAATAGAGGCATTAAGAGATTCCAGCTCTATCAGTACGACTACTACCAGGGAATCGAAATGCAATGTCATTACTCTACTAATAATTTTAAGAGGTAATTTGATCAGAAGATGCAAGATCTAAGGGCGCGAAGATGTGAATCAAGGCTGCTTATATCTTTCTACGGCTGTTCTCTAAAACTAGCGATCATTAATTCAGTACCCTGATAATTGTATGATTGTATTATTTTTAGATCGCTCCTTATTCTTACAATAATGGCGGCACAGAAATAGGGAGTAATATATCACTACCACAAAGTCTTACCCTAATACACAGTTGACGCCATGCTATTCTGTAATCTATTGTAAAAAGTTTCCTTATTTAAATAATAAATGGAAGGATGCGAACGCACAACTTTAAAATATTAACAATGTAGTTATAGATGTCGACCTCAGAGCAAGGATGAACGGTAGATGTAATATTAGAGTCGACAATCGTAATTGGCAGGTGAATATTCTAGTTTATGGCGCTCAGAACATTCTTGTGTCCCTGGGTCAGCAGATAGCATGCTGAGATGTCTTAAATTAGTAATCGAACAACCAGTATCAGAATGAAAAAAAGTTTAAGTATAAAAATTAATGCTAACCTTAAATGACCAACTTGATTGTCATGTTAATTATGACCAGGTAAAATAATTAATAGCTAATATTAAATCTCGTCACGCATAAACTACGAAAAGATGTTTAAAGTAAGATGAAGCTCGTATCTTTCAGAGTTTAATGTTTGTATATCAAACCTTGATGTGACTATTTATTTATTTGAATAAATAATATTATTACATTCCAAAACTTTTAGCTACAAATATAAGACGGTTCATGGTTTTGAAGAGAGCCAGTCCGCTTGTATTTGCGGGGGATTATCCGAAAACACTTGCGGATGTAAATCGTTTTGTGATTCTCACAAGTTTTATACTCGCGAGATAACGATCTTCATTCGGTGGTTGATGAGATTAGATAGACGAACAGTGGGTGCTTTGAAGAGTGATTTTATATCTACCATTCATTGAAATTGTACAATGCAGAAGGCAGGCCGATGCGAACTCTTCAATCGTCGGATATATATATACATATACAGTATATTCATACAGTTTAATATAGCCTGTTGTGATTTATCTTCTATTGACAGATATATAAAGAGCATCGATCGAGATATATCGATTACGCTCCCACCCCTTTGTGTTCCTTTTGATTATACTTTTGGGTTCTATATATATTAAAATTACGTCTTTTTTTTATAATTTATACAAAGTAACGTAAGATAATGTGTTAATATGACAACTGATATACAAACACATACACAGACACACATCGATATCGTTATCCTGGATCAGCCCAGCGAACACGAGGAGGTGCTTGTATAGGTGGTGACACATTCTCACCATCGGCAGAACCCGAATCCGAAACATTGCTGTTACTCACTGTATTATTGTTCGTTAGTTCTTCGTCTTCTTCCTCTTCAAAGAAGAATCTCGGGAGACGCAAGAGTGCCGCATCGAATACAATACTTGCTCTTTTCCACTCGGATAAGCCGCGATCCTGCGTGGCTCCTCCAGGGCCGCGTTTTCGTCTTGTATAAAAGATACAGCCTAACCAACCGATTCCTATTCCGACAATGGCCACCGCGATAGCGATTCCAGTTACTGCAGCTGGTTTGCTGAGAATGCTGCTGGTTTTAGCGGACGGTGTGCTTACATTTGACGAAGTCGATACGGTACTTGTAGGAGCTATTGAAGTATTGCTCGTTGTCGTCAATATTGCTGAAGGTGTAGGTGTAATTTGAGGCGATAATGTTGGGGTGGGCGGAGGAGTCTTCTTTGGCGGTGGATAATGACGTTTGACTATTAACAATGTCGGAGGAGTCTTCTTTGGCGGTTTGACCATTAACAATGTCGGAGTTGTAGCTATTAAATCACCGCCATTCAATTGACGAGGCATTAGGGCTCGTTGTGATGATGGATTAACTGACATAGCGAGAAGAATAAAAAAATAAACTGGGAAGGCTCTGATGACGCTCCCCACCATTGTTGTGGCGTTTATGCAACTTTGCAGTTAGGTAGTTTGATTGACATACTTTTATATGGAATCGTGTTTCCAGCTTGGTGTTACTGTAAGGTGTTAATTATCTTGTTTCACAACATGACACAAACTGCAATTCTGTAAATGAATTTATGATATATAATAACAAATATATTTGTAAATACGTTGTCTGTAACGACAAGCGATCGTTGGTTCATCCGGAAGAGAAAGGGTATATATAGACAGCAGGTTCGCAATGTATCGTGGGTAATGTGATGGTGTATCCTTTCTCTCTCTCTCGCCAAAGGAATGCTTGCACAATGGTTTCTTGAAACGACTGACGCAAAAGGAACAATCGATACTTATTAGTCAGTATGGCCAATAGACGTTTTGGCAATCTGAATCACATGCAGTACAATACGTAAGCTGTTGAATAACGTTCGCTTTTTCTCGTTATCATATTCAATCGGGACATGTCACAATAGCATTGGGGGAGATTGGTTTTTACTTTCGGAAAATATCTCACGGAATTTCCTTATTGTATAGTCGCATGTTACTGATGGGATTGATTACTAAGAGTTGATAATTAATTGTGAATGACATTAAACCCGGTGTATATTTACTAATGAAACTCGTTTTGATAAAATTAATTTATCCGAACATTGTGGGCTGGAGAAAAGATAAGTAAGGGTCGGTGGTAAGCTTTACTATTATCAGAACAATCTTGAGGACTGCTAACAATGGCTACACCGAAATTGGCGAGAGTGGATGTCGACACACCAAACTATAATTGTTAGTGTAAGCCGTCTTTGCCAAATAAATGTGCTCGTATTAGCGAACAAAGTTACATGTGAATTGATAGAAACGATAATTTGTGATGTCGAAAATAAGAATGCAGACAAAGTATGCACTGATGACATTTAGAGAGTAATTCTATAAATACAATTACCGGTTGCGATATGCAAAATATTACAACAATCTTGCATGCTGTTTGGAGCTTGTAGAACCGTTGGGTCGGATACAGGCGAATGAGGCGATGTGTTGACGAATGACAGCATCTCACATCCGATACTCAACTAATGCAAGATCGCTCATCCAATTGCAATCACTCACATGCATCCCATCACTCAATCTACTTACATCTAGCAGTACAGTAGTGGGGGGTAAATGGATGTGAGGGCTTATGCATATTGTGCTAAACAGAAAAAGTCCTTGTCAAAGGGGCAAACACATATCAGGGTATATCAGTTAACAGCTTTCTGTTTGCATTACCGTACTCCGTAACCCCCTACATACGTCTTTCTATGGCGTAAGTATGTCCAAAAAAGGCATATCATCTTTAAAAGTGTCAAAGTACATTAAAGATGCATATTTGCATCGTCTGAAAATCAGTAAAAAAAAAATAGGGTTCTTTTTTTAGTTCGTTATCATTTAGTGTAACATAAAAAGGTTAAAAAAAGAGTGAGATGAATGATAACGCAAGTACTGCGGTAAATAAACAAATTTTAGCAAAAATGTATGACGATGATAATAAATGACAACTGATAAGCAAAAACATACATAATGTCATTTCGTGATGTTGTATCACGTTCTATTACCCGTCCCAACTTACTTGGATGGCTGAGATACCGATGACTTATTGGTTTTTGGTGTCACTTTAAGTCTTGGTATTTTGTAAACAGAGTGACAGTTCGCTACTTCCAGAAAAAGATTTGCCTATATTGCTGACTAATGGCAGACAGCGAGAGCTCACTTTGCGATTATAGTAATAATTATTACATATGAATGTTATCTTCTTAAGAATGAGAATTATGCTAAGGCTTTTTCCTATAAAGGAAATCCCCGCAAATGCAAAAACACTGATCAAGTGGCTTCCCAAATCTATCAACTAATCTGGTTCAAGGGCGTCAACATTACGTAATTAGCGCAATCACAATAATAATAATACTGTAATACGTAGTGCGCAACGGCGGTTTCCTAGCGCACAAGTACGTTAAATACTTTCACAAACGATATGGTCGATATAGCTGTTTGTGTAGCATCGACAGGAGTCATGCTACAACAAAACGTTTTGATGTTGCAGAGATCTGTTACGTTTGCGTCTGCTTTGAGAACTAATCAATAATCTAATGTGGCTTTAGGCGTCAACTTTTTGATTACACGTTTCCCAAAAATGGTTTACTTTGTCCAGTCCAGATGGATTTCACCGCTCAAGTGACAAATTGGTGCTGTTCCGCTCGTATGAATAGTACGCTTCCGAGATACTAATACGACAGTTTCAAGGGGAATTCTACTACGCTAAAATAAACTAATTTTTGAAATAATAAATTCCTGCTATTATTGACATAATGCCGATGGGATTAATTGCCAATCAAATCCTCCTAGTCCAAAACCGCCAGGGATAGATTTACGCGAATCGTGTTTCCTTTACACCATCAGCCTAGTCGATTCCAAGATTTAGAGTAGGATACATATCAATGTCTGCTTGGCCAACCCAATCAAAACGATCAACTGTGCTTGATGGCTGATATAATTATATTAGGCATTTGAAGGTCACAAAAGACATAATTATTATTATAAAGTAGCTGAATTTGCAACAGCTTGGTATATAAGACTCTTTTCCTCAGTGTTCAGTTTCAAAAAAGAATTTCATATAATATCATATAGTGTTCACATCGTGTCAAGCACTTCATCATAACCATTTCCTATTCTTGAACAATACAAGGCTTATAATAGAGCAATTCAGGTGCCGAATTAGTATTTGCATATAACATATGAGCCTCTGCATGACCACAATTTTCTCTCCAGTGGCTGTCAAATAAGAGTAAATATCAATGACATTATAATTAGTTTCTGTATTATTATGACATCCATGTCATTGCTGTATTGTTTGCTATGCTGCAGCAGAAACATTTCTGCTGTTCTATATGATTCATATTAATAACAGCAGTTTTTGACCATTATGGTGGTATAGCCTTCATAAGAGAGCCGCCATGCTTGATATTAGTGCAGAATATTTACATACAGTCCCGGAAAATAATAATGGCGGTGCCTATTAAATGCAATTTCCACAAAGTGTTTACGTATAAGTTAAATTTTTGGCAGTAGTTGATGTTGTTCACGATAACAAATTCTACTTGTAATAAAGAGATGATAAATTCACAAAAAAGTTTCAACATGTTTTTGGC